AGTAATATTGAAAATTATTAATTAAAGAGTGGAACTGCATGAAAATTAATTATAAAAATATAAATTTGTATATAATTTGAGTTGTACAACTCTTTTGTTGCCACATCATAATATAAAGTTAAACTGAAAGGAACTTTCCACACTCTTTACAATTGGTGTGCGAAAATTAAAATATTTATAATATTAGTAGAAGAAAGCAATCCAAAAATTTAATTATTATAACCTTTTACATATTTCATACTTGTTTCAAATTTGTTTGATTATTTATTTTCAGTTTTTATCTCTTTTGGTCTCAATGACAATTGTGAAGATGTTGTTGATCTTACTTTTTCTATAATTTCCAACTATCTTATTTTCAAATTCTATTTATCTTTTCATTGGTTTAGCAATTTGAAAGGTTTGAAACGTGGATCTCAGTTATAATGAAATGAATGGCTCTCTATCAGGTTCGGGTACGTAAAACTTACATATTGTTTTCTAATTAATATAGTATTTAATGAAACTTTTTCACTATATAGCTAGCTGGCTGATTTCTTCAACTTTTTTTATCAGGAATATGTGAGTTAATGGATCTGTTGAACTAAATCTTAAGGGCAATAATTTGGTGGTCAAGTCCCTCAATGTCTCACCAACTTCACCTACCTCAAGGTCCTTGTTCTTTCATCAATTCATAAGTGGAACTTTGCCATCTGCTTTTACTCACCACAATCTCTTGAATATTTGGATGTCCGAGAAAATAACTTGAAGGAAAATATCTCTAAGTTCATTGGCAAACCATTCAAAGCTTCAATGCTTGCACTCTCATCAAGAAACAACTCGTTTCAATGTGCAAATGATAATTGGTTTCCTGCATTTCAGTTGAAGGCCCTCAGGTTACCTCATTGCAACTTAAATGCCATCCCTAGTTTTCTTCTATACCAATATGACTTATTATCCTTGACCTCTCTCATAATAAGTTGGTTGGTACTTTCCATCTTGGTTGTTAGTAAATAACACAACTTGAGAGGAATGCATTTGGTGAACAACTCATTCTCAGGAACTCTTACTGCCAAACACCAAACATGTTCCATTACCGTTTTTGATATTTCTCATAACAATTTCAATGGTCCACTCCCTAAGAATATATCAATGGTTAAATGAAAGCACTCTCATGGATGGATTGTCCAACAACCATTTTTCAGAGAGAGTTACCTGTGATTTTCTCACTGTTGCGTCTCATTGGATTTTTGAACTTGTCAACAACAATTTATAGGGCAAATATTTCCTCAATATATGACATCCCTCATTGAGGTACATTATTTGAACATAACAACTTCATTGAAAAATCGGAAAAGGATTACAAAATTTTACATCTTTACAACCTTAGATATCTCCAACAACAAGGTATCTATCAAGTTCCCAATTGGATAGGAAATTTTTCAAACCTCCAGTTTCTTCTATGTCAAAAAACCTTCTAGAAGGAAATATTCCTGTTCAATTAAACAAGTTGTCATTCCTTACCATTTTAGATGTCTCTGAAAATAAGATGACTGGACCCATTACATCTTTTAATTTTTCATCTATCCAAGAGTTGTTCATGAGAGAAATGCTTTCACCGGCCAATTCCAAAGTCACTATTTAGAAGCTCTGAATATTGATGCTCAATTTGAGGGACAACCAATTTTCAGGAAGTATTCCTAATTTGATCAATAAGCATTCAAGTTTACGTGTTCTTCTTTTGGGAGGCAATCACTTGCAAGGTCCTATACCTAATCATTTATGTCAATAAAAACCTGAGCATCTTTTCTTTCCATAATAACTTAATGGATCAATACCTTCATGCTTTATTAGGATGATATTTTGGACAGGACAAAGTGATATTCAAATGAGTATAGGTCAAATGGTTTGGCACTTGACCAAAGTGATGGGTTATGCTTTCTATTCTACAATTCCATTTTATCATTGATTTCGTTTAATGGCTTTTCCATATTTATATCATTCCTTTGAATTGATTTTTTGACAAAGAATAGGTACGATTCTTACAAGGGTGACATTCTTAACTTATGACTGGAATGGATTTGTCAAACAATGACTTATTTGGAGATATCCCATCAGAAATCGGAGACCTCAAGGAATCAAAGCATTGAATTTGTCCAATAATTATTGTCGAGACCATACCAAAGAGTTTTTCCAAACTTCAATATAGAAAGCTTAGATCTTTCCATAATAAATTAAGCGGCCAAATTCCTCGACAATTGACCGAGTTAACCCAGTTAGCTGTCTTCAATGTGTCGTACAACAACTTGTCTGGGTTGACTCCTAATGAACGTCAGTTTGCTACCTTTGATGAAAGCAGTTATATAGGTAATTCTGGTCTATATGTTACCCCAATCAATAAGAGCTTGCACCAGTGTGCCAACTCCACCCTTGTTACCATCCAATAGAGAAGAAGGAGAAGAATCTGCAATTGACATGGTGGCATTTTATTGGAGTTTTTTTGGATCATATGTCACTATCATATTGGGGTTATTGGTGATTCTTTGGATCAACTCACATTGGCGTATGCTATGGTTTTATTTTATTGGTGAATGCATTGATTTTTGTTTTTATTGGCTTTCAAAATATGTATCATGCTAGGCCACAATAGAATAACTTGAATAATCTTTTTCCCTTTGGCGACTGTGACATTTTGTTCTGTTGTATTTGGTGCGTTCAATAATTTCTATAAAACTAGCTACATAATTTCTTTATTTCAAGTTGTTTTCTTGAATTTGGTTTATATTGCTTTCTCATAAATAAGGTGCGTATACATGCTGATTTACCTTGTTGCTTTCTATCAAACAATAATGGGTGCGTTTGCTGTAGTATTTTGGATAGGATTTTGAGGATAGTATTGGATTGTTGGATAGGGGAGTATTACGAGGTAAATTTGAAAAATTTATAAAAAAGCCCTTAGGTTTACTAATAATTAAAGACCCTATTATATAAAATTACAAAAACACCCCCACCACCTGGAGTGTCAGATTCCGGCCACCACCGTCGGAATCTAGCCGAAAAATTTCGTTACGGCACAGACCGATCGGATCTGTGCCGTAACGCATCATTATGGCCTTTTTCGGCCAGATCCATTTCCGGCCAGATCCACCACGGATCTGGTCGGAAAAGGCCAGATCTACGGCCTGTTATGGCCGTTGACGGCCGAAAAGGCCAAAACGACGGCCATATGTGGCCGTCGTTTTCGGTCAACGACGGCCATTTCTTTGGCCGTCGCTGACAGCCAGATCGGTGTAATTCCGGCCATTTATGGTCAGAATTTAGGCCGTTGTATAGATTCCGGCTATCACCGGCAGTGGTTGCCGGAATTTGACAAGTTGGGTTGATGGGGGGGGGTTTTAATTTTTTTTAAAAATTTCAAGGGGCATTTAGTGAAATTAATAACGTTATGGGGTCTAAAAGTAATTAAAAAATAGGGTAATATTTCTGGAATATTGTGCCAAACATTATTTGGAAAATAGGATTGGGAATATGGATAAAAATAGGGAGCCAAACGCACCCAATAGTATTTACCGTTAATAATGTGAGGGTAATCTGATACTCTCTGCCACCTGGGATTAAAACATTATTAAGTAACGTGAATTTTATACCTATTTTACACTTTAATTATATACCACTTCGAACATAATTATCTTCAAATCTCTATCAAATATCAAATAACAATTAACCTAACTCCTTTATATTTAAAAAATTAGCTAAAACACCCCAATCATAAAAAGTTTAAAAGTTAACAAAATACCTTTAATCACCTAAAACCACTGCTATCCACCAGCGTCAATCATCGTAATGGTGAGTAGGATTTGACTGGTTCAAAGCCATGGCCGAAAAAGGCCTTTTTCGAGAAACGATTAAATCTGGCCGTTTCTATGGCTATTTCATAGCTAAAGATGTGGTCGTGAAAACATGCACATATTTGGTATTTTTACGGCCACATCTTTGGCCGTAAAATGGCCATAGAAACAGTCATTTCAATATCGTTCTTACGCCAGCGATTGGCGATCGGCGATCGACGGTGGCTGTTTGCGAGTGATAGTGGCTTGGGTGAGTGGGGGCGTTTTTATTCATTTATAAACTTTTATTGTATAAGATAATTGTGAAATGTTTTAAGTTAAACAGAATATGATTGGATTTTGAATTGAATAGTTAATATTAAAATAAACACGTTTTCATATTCCACTATCTTATCTTATCATATTCCACTATCTTATCCTAAAAAATGAAAAATGTAGAATATAATAAAAATGAAAAGTGTATCAAACAAGGGGTAGGCTCCATTTGTTTAGTTATTCTCACCCTATCATATTCCACTATCCTATCCTAAAAAATAAAAAATATGTTTGTTTTAATATTTTTAAAATCCAATTATATTCTATTCAACTTAAAATATTTAACAATTACATTTTTCAATAAAAATTTTAAAATTAACAAAAACACTTTCACTCATCCAACTTTTTGCTGGCAGCCGACCATCATCGTCAAATGATAGCTAGAAGTCGTCGAAATGACACACAACTGATTAGATCTGGCTGATCGTGCTTCGATACTGCATTTTTGGACCAGATCTACTGCTAGAGATCTAGGCGTTGACTTTAAAAAACAATAAATTATTTAAAAATAAAACAATAAATTACACTTAGAGTTAGTTTGAGATCGTTACAACTTTTAAGTTTTATAAGCTTTTCAGAGTAATAAAAATAAGAATAATCTTTCCTAATAACATATACCAAATTGAATACTAAATTTTAAAAATGATGTAAATTTTCAACAGGTATTTTGATACATTCTGGGTGAAAACTGAAAAAGGACATCACGGCAAACCTTGGGTGGGAAAAAATCGTTTACTCTCCAACTGTCATGACCTAAATTTTCAACGGTTAATGGTGTAAAGCAGTCCCATCAATCTCGTAGTAACCTACTATCAGAATCCATTGAATCTAGACACAATGAAATATTTATGAACCTGGACAAAACAATGAACGTCTTTTCAATTATTAAGTCGTCTCCCACAACCCCTCTGTCTTTCTTCTTCTTCCTATTGATTTTAGCATCCATGGACACTCCTTCCCCGGACTGGTCCACTCTCCCAGAACACCTCCTCCACTGCATCGCAAAACGCCTCCAAACCCGCATCGATACCCTCCGTTTCCGAGCCGTCTGTAAGTCATTTCGATCCTCAACTGCTCCTCCTTCAAAACCGTTTTCTCCCCGCTCCGATATCAAAATTCAATATCCTCTACCTCTCACACCTTACCGCCACGGAAATCTCCTCCTCGCCGAGTCCACAATCTACGCCGTTGAATCCCTCGACGCTTCGCCACAAACCACTGAAACATGGCTTCTCAAACTCGAAGAATTGAGCTCGGGCAAAGTCCGAGTTGGGGATCCCCTCTTCAAGCTTTGCTCCGAAAAGTTCTCCCAAATGTTGCCAAACTCATTCAACTTGTTAGATTATCGTGTTAAGGAGATAACTAAAGTTTACAGACTCGAGTTAGAGTCGAACAAATTCGACCCTTCTTGTTTCAGAAAAGTGGCAGTTTCTAATGAAAATGAGCTTGAACTTGGAGTTATGGCGTTAGTAACCGGAGGCAAAGTGGGATTATGGAGAAGCAAAAACAAAACGTGGACGAATATCGATTTGGGTGGAAATGTTATGTATTTTGAAGATGTCACGTATCATAACAAGAAATTTTTCGCCATGGGTTCCGATGGTCGTACTATCACCATTGATCCTAAATCTTTAAAGATTATCGAAGTTGCAGCTGCGGTTACGAAATCAAATCATGGGTTACTCTCTTTGATAAGATCGTTCGACGATTTGTTTTTGATCGATAAGTATTGGTTAGAGAAGTTTAACAAATTTGGCTTGGGTTCTGATGATGAGTTTTGCTCGGTTCGTGTGGACGTTTACAGGCTTGACGAAGAGAGGCGAGAGTGGATAAAGGTGAGGGATGGATTGGAGGAAAAGGCGTTGTTTCTGGGTGAAAATCATTCGTTTTTTGTTGAGGGTGAAGGATTCTCGTGGAGGAAAGGGGGTTGTATTTATTTGTTTGATAGAGATTTTTCAAGATTGGATTTTGATTATCCTGCTGTGAGTGTTGTGACCTTTGAATTGGAGGATGATAATGGCGGATGGAGCTATGGAGTTTCAAGCTTTTCCAAGATTTTTTGGCCTCCACCCACTTGGCTAAAGCAGAATTGATTCCAGATAGCTCCATCGCCTGGATTTTTAAGTGATCTTATAGGGAGAAAATAAAATAAACCCACTTAAGTATGATATAAAAGGAATTTGACCGAATATTTACTTTACTTTATTGACTGATAATATTATGTATAGAGTAGCACCTAAAAAAAAAAAAAAAAAAAAAAAAGGTTGGAGCACTTTAATAATGTAAATTAACCTTGAGTCGGTTAAAGTTTAACGGTGCAGGCTTATTGAAATTCTCGGAAATGTCAAACCTTGTGAAGCTCCAATATGAGGCCGAGACTGGATGAAAAAAACTATCATGAATGGGCCTTGAGACTAGATGAAAAAAACTATCATGAATGGGCCTTGAGACTAGATTAAAAAAACTCTCCATTTGGAATCTATGAAACTCGGTGAAGTCATTAAAGAAGGAAACATGACGTCCCTGAAGGATAAATCAAAGGGTACTATTTTCCTTCGACATCATATCCAAGAAGGGTTGCGGGCTGAGTATAAGGATATAAAAGATCCACTCCAATTGTAGACTAATTTGAAGGAGAGATTTGAATATAACAAACCAGTAATACTCCCAATGACTAGTATGGTTGGACTCATTTACGTCTACAAGACTATAAATTTGTAAGTGAATATAATTATGCTTTATTTGGGATTGTCTCTAAATTAAGAACATGTGGAGAGAAAATATGTTGGAAAAAACATTTTCCACTTTCCACCCTTCCAATATGCTCCTACAGTAGCAATATAGGGAGCGTAACTTTAAGAAATATTCTGAATTAATTTCTTGTTTACTTGTGGCTGAGCAAAATAATGAACTATTGCTAAGAAACCACCAAACTCGCCCCACTGGTTCCCAACCGTTCCCCAAAGTGAACGCAATGACTAGCAATAATAATCGTGGGAGTGGACGGGGTCCAGGTCAAGGTCATGGGCGAAATAACTATCGACCCAGAGGTGGTCATAACAAGAAATTTCAGTCACACCACCCGAAGTGGAGCAAGAGTTAATAAAAAAAAAAAAAAATAAAAAAAAAAAAATGAAAGAAGCCACCCACAGAACAAGAACAATGAAAACAAGTGCTATAGATGTGGAGGAAAGGGCGCCCATTGGTCACATACCTGCTGTTCGCCCAAGCACTTAGTGGAATTGTATTAAGCATCGATTAAGAACAAAAAGATAAAGACAAATCTAACTGATGCCCTTGAGTCAAATCATATTGATAACTCTGATCTGACTCGTCTTAATGTCTCAGATTTCTTTGGAGATGTCGATATGAAATATTAGAATAGTTATGAAAATGCCTGTGATTTCTAGGATTTCTATAACTTTTGTCATGTTTTTGAATTATGTATTTTTTATGAATATTTTTGTCTTGTTTATACCTCCTTAAGTTATGTAAACATCCTCACAAATGTAATTTTTTTTTTTTTTTTTTTTTTTTAAAAGGATGAACTTAAAAAATGAAACATTGATATCCAGTAATGATGGAGACATTTGTATAGTAGATAGTACAACGACGCACACCATCCTTCAGGATAGAAAATATTTTTCGAATTTGACATTTATTGAAGCTAAAGTAAATATTATATCAGGGTTGGTAAACATAATTGAGGGCTTTAGAAGAGCAACACTCTTGTTACCAAGCGGAACTTAATTAAGTATCCATGATGCTTTATATTCTAGCAAATCCAGGAAAAAATTGCTTAGTTTTAAAGATATACGACTCAATGGATACCACATAGAAACTTTAAGTGAAAATGATTGAGAGTTTATATGCATCACTACTAATATTTCATGTCATAAGCATGCACTAGAGAAACTCCCTACTTTTTAATCAGGGTTATATTACACATTCCTGAAGAATGTTGAAGTCTATGCAATTATGAACCAAAAGTTCACTAATCCTAAACTTTTTTAAATCTGGCACGATTGTCTTGGTCACCCAAGATCCACTATGATGCGTAGAATCATAGAAAACTCACATGGTCACCCATTATAGAACCTAAAGATTCTATAACCTAATGAGAGTGTTTGTATTGTTTTCTCACAAGGCAAATTGACACTTAAGCCATCCATCACTAAAGTTGGTCTAGAACCCCCATCATTTTTACAAAGAATTCATGGAGACATATGTGGACCTTTTCATCCACCAAGTGGACATTGCCGCTACTTTATGGTATTGATTGACACATTGGCATGATGGTCACATGTTTTTCTACTATCAACCCGTAATGCTGTCTTTGCTAGATTGCTGGCATAGATTATTAGATTACGGGCACACTTTCCAGATTACCCAATTAAAGCAATACGCCTGGACAATGCTGGTGAGTTTAACTCAAAGACATTTGATGACTATTGTACAGCAATGGGAATTGATGTTGAGCACCTAGTACCACATGTACATACCCAGAATGGTATGGCAGAGTCATTTATAAAGCGTATCCAATTAATTGCAAGAATTCTGCTATTATGTACGCAATTATCGACTTCTGCCTGGCCTCATGTTGCGGCATTAATTCACCTAAGGCCCATTGCATACATCAATACTCTTCAATACAGCTTGTATTTGGGCACCAACCAAATATATCCCATTTAAGAACTTTTGGTTGTGCTGTGCAAGTTCTAATTACACTCCCTCAATGCACCAAAATAGGACCCCAATGTCGTTTGGGAATATATGTTGGCTATGACTCACCATCTATCATCAGATATCTTGATCCCTTGATGGGTGATGTGCTTACCGTACGTTTTGTGGATTGCCATTTTGATGAGACAATATTTCCTCCTTTAGGAAGAAAGGTAAAGCCTCCTGAAGTAAGGCTTGAAATTTCTAGGAAAGTAAATTCTATGTCTCATTTAGATCCTCACACATCTCAATCTGAAATTGAAGTGTAAAGAATAACTCATTTGCAAAATATTGCCAACCAAATGCCTAATGCATTTACAGATACAGCAAAAAATAACGAGATTATACATTCATGTTGCTAATACACCAGTAAGGATTGATGTTACCAATGAACAATCCATATAGGCAGCGATCAATTCATTTATTATACGCCAGAAGCATGGCAGGTCGGTTGGAGCCAAGGATATTGTTCCTAGGAAACAAAAGACACAAAATCAAATAAGTGCCAATATTGATAATACTGGAACAATTGATGATTCTTCACCTCCTAAACCAACTCCAGAAAAGTTAACAGTCCCTAAACGGACACAAACCCCTGAAGAGGAACAAATCCTTGAAGAAATACTAGAGCATAGAAATGAAGAAATTTCTATAAACTATGCTCATAGTAAAGAAATGTGGAATCGTGAAACAACTATTGTCGATAACATATTTTCATAGCAGTAGCTACTGAAATTATGAATGATGAGTTTGAGCCACGTTATGTTGATGAATGTCGACAAAGACATGATTTGCCAAAATGGGAAGAGGCAATTCAAGCAGAATTAACCTCCCTAGCAAAACGTAATGTATTTAGACTTGTAGTCTAAACGCTTGAAAACATGAAACCTGTAGGATACAAGTGGGTATTCATAAGGAAACGAAATGAGAAAAATGAGATTGCTAGGTATAAGGCTAGACTAGTGGCTTAAGGTTTCTTGTAGAGACCTAGAATTGACTTTGATGAGACATATTCACCAGTGATTAATGCTATTACATTTCGATACTTGATTAGTTTTTCAGTCTTAGAAGGACACGTATACGTCTCATGGATGTTGTCACTGCGTATTTGTATGGTACACTAGATACTAATATCTATATGAAAAAACCTGAAGGATTCAATGTGCTAGAAGCAAATAAAATGAATATGTATTCAATAAAATTGCAAAGATCGTTATATAGGTTGAAACAATCAGGACAAATGTGGTATAATTGTCTTAGTGAATATCTGATTAAGGAAGAATACATCAATGATCATGTATGTCCATGTGTCTTTATAAAAAGGTCAGAATCAGGATTTGCAATTGTCGTAGTACATGTCGATAACATGAATTTAATAGGGACTCCTGAAGAGATCACAAAAGTTACTGAGTACTTAAAAAGAGAATTTGAAATGAAGGATCTAGGGAAAACAAAGTATTGTCTCGGCTTGTAGATCAAGCATTGTTCAGATGGAATTTTGCTCCATTAATCCAATTATACTACAAAGATCCTTAAGCAATTTAATATGGATAAATCTCACCCCTTAAGTACCCCAATGGTAGTTTGGTCTCTTGATCCTAAAAAGGATCCATTTCGTCCTAAAGAAGACGACAAAAATATACTTGGTCTTGGAGTACCATATCTAAATGCAATAGGCGCATTATTATATTTGACACAAGTATGAGACCATAAATAACATTTGTAGTGAATTTATTGGCAAGATTTAGCTTTGCACCAACTCATCGACATTGGAATGGGATCAAACATGTCTTTCGTTACCTCAATGGAACAAAAGACTTGGGATTATTTTATCCAAGGAAGTCTGATAACGATCCTAAATTAGTTGGCTATACAGATGCTGGGTACCTTGCTGATTCTCACAAAGCCCGCTTGTAGATGAGATATGTTTTCACTTATAATGTTACTGCAATATCATGGTGCTCAACATTACAAGCATTGGTTGCCACTTCCTCCAACCACTCCGAAATTCTTGCACTTTACGAAGCCAACCGAGAATGCGTATGGTTAAGATATGTCATCCATCATAGTGAAAGTACATGCAAATTGCCATGTACCTTAGATGCTCCCACAATTATAAATGAAGACAATGCATCATGTATTGCTCAAGTAAGGGGAAAATATATAAAAAAGGAGACAAAACCAAGCATATTTCACCGAAGTTCTTTTACACATACAAACTCCAGCAAAATTGAGAGATTGATGTCAAACAAATACACTCTAGTGATAATCTTGCAGATGTATTCACTAAGGCCTTACCGACGTCAACCTTTGAAAAGTTAGTATATAATATCAGTATGCGGCGGCTCAATAAGTTACTAAATTAATTCTACCATTATGAGGGGGAGCATTGATCA